CCTGTGATTTGCAGTGTTCTATCCAATCCGCGAGGCAAATTTTTTAAATCATTAAATCCTAATCGCACCCAACATGATGACATATCGGTTGAAAATAATACGCAGTACCAACAAAATAGCTTATTCCTTACCTCAGATCCCGTCAACCAGATATATTTTTTATAATTATCAGAATTTAACGAACGATGTTTTTTGTTACCTGTAACAATCAGATTTTTTAATTCCGGTGTCGGACGTTTGTTTTTCACAATCAATTTATCTTCATAAGACAAAGCACTGAATGGGTTTACCAAAGAGTATTCCACCAAATCGCAATCGTTTAAAACACTCATTTTTCAGAAATTTATAGAGCCCCTAACCATTACCCTAACCATCATAAACAATGCACTCGCGTTTGTCCGCAATTTGCGAAGCGACACGACAAACACGTGCTATTCGGGCGTATTCGGCAATTTGCATTGCGCGCGTAGGTTGCGCTATGTGAAAGAGTCTAGCCTCCTATAGATGTTGCCAAGTTGGATATTTTACGCGTGATTTGCAGACTTCAACGTGTGATGCGTTGGCAAACACTGTTGCCAATTCAAAAATATTTAACTAAAAACAGGAAATAAAATCAAAATCCATGTATTTTGGTGTCCTTTTAATGAGAAAGTATTGATAATATTAGTTTAAGGAAAATCTCTGAGGAGGTTCAGCCTCCGATGCCTCCTCTGAGGAGCCGCCGCTGCTTATTCTGATACATGGTGATACATGGAGATACATGCTGTAAACATGCGTTAACTTAGACATTTGGTCTGAATTTAGTTAGATCTCCTTGATAAGCATACCAACTATCCATACGGTATAAACGTGGCCAATAATAATGGATGATAAGATCTTCATTTTGAAGATTGACCTCATACATTGTCTTGACTTGGTAGCGCTGATGGTCCATTCTCCAAGTGTCCTATCCATTCAGTCGTATTTTTGCAACAGCTTTATCGTTAGAACGTTATGATCTCTATGAGAACATGACTAAGCTATACTCGTATTAGTATCTAAACTCATGAAGTCACTATCGGTGAGATGTAAACGGTTCGGAACGGATAAGTGAATATTTCAGACTACTATATATTTTCATAATACTTTGATATTCTGAAAGAAATAATTCATTATATAATTCCATTAGGATGATCTTGGATCATTCTAGGAAAGTATACACAGTATGTCTGAAAAAGTTGGAAACCAAATGGAGAACTTTTTTATTATTAGTTTTAGGAAACAGTTTGTTCACAACAAGTTCTGCAGGGCCTGAAACCAAAAACGCGAATAACAGATATATATCGCATTTTTTCAGTGGTAATAAGAAGTTTGTAAAAAATATACATTTTCCTCAAGAGTAAAGTACCTTTATTCTCGACAATATTGAAAATTATCATATAGAAAAGTTTACTAGAATTAAAAACTACGTTCAAATATCTGATAACATCTATACCTATAGGAAAGTATACAGTATGTCTGAAAAAGTTGGAAACCAAATGGATAACTTTTTTATTATTAGTTTTAGGAAACATCAGTTTGTTCACAAAAAGTTCTGCAGGGCCTGAAACCAAAAACGCGAATAACAGATATCGCATTTTTTCAGTCGTAAGAAGTTTGTAAAAAATATACATTTTCCTCAAGAGTAAATAAAGTACCTTTATTCTCGACAATATTGAAAATTATCATATAGAAAAGTTCACTAGAATTAAAACTACGTTCAAATATCTGATAACATCTATACCTACGATCTTACAATGATTTCTGATCGATGCATATGTGAAACTTCCACTTCATTAATTTTACGAAAAAAAAAATAATGAGGAAAAAAGGATTTTTCATGAAAAATGCTGCAAGGTCAATGACCAAGAATGCAGACATGAGATATCTTTTTTTTAGCTATTTATGTCAACAAATCTTAACGAATTTGTGAAAAATAATAAAACTAGATTTTTATCGTAGACAATAAATGTTATGATATTTGAACGTAGTTTTAGGTTTTATAGCTAGTGTTGGAAAAACGTTATTTCGAATAAGTTGAGTACTAATTTCCATTCTACTCTGTGTTATATAGTTCTGTGTTATATAGTTCTGTGTTGTAACCTCACTTTGAAAGGTACATATATAAATCAATCTCATCCAAACTCTTGACAGAAAACGGATTCCCAAATAAATGACTGCTATATAGGTGCTAGAAATTCAGAGTGGATTCGATAAAATTATAATCTCTTTTGTGGAGAACCGGAAAATGTTCTAGTTTATTCGTTTCAATATGGGAAACTTGAACTGCATATTTTCGAATACCTATTAATCAAGACGCATGAATATTATGTTTTGCATAATGCTGACGGATAGCAAAACCCATCTGTTGAATTATATATTTATTATATCTATATAATATATGTAAAATAACAGCTTTTAATAATAATAAAAACAAAAATCGTATGGATAACAAGTTTTTATAAGCCACTGAGGCAGTGAATGATGATATTTTCTTGAATAAATTATGTTGAACTGAAAGATGGCTTTTCTTATCCCATGCAAATAGGCCTATAGAGATTCTGATTGGCGATGACGACGTGGTGATTACTCGCGTGCACCCCTAGTGGTACAATTTGGAAGCTGTCTAAGAACAACTCCCCAAGTCTAAGTGAAGGTAAGAAAACTTACAAAATAGTATATGTAACAAGTCTTTATAAACGTCCTTTTAGTAACGAGTATTTTAAGGCTTTTAAGCACGAGCGGAGCGAGTGTTTAATAAACGAGTGTCTAGAAGAGTTCATAAACGAGTTACATACGACTGAACTTTTTCTCTTCGACAAGATCATGAAATTTTTTTTTCTGTGACGTGAAAAAAGTTTGCCATTTCATCTCTGTTGGCAGGTTATAAAATGTCACTTTTCATAAATTACTTTTTGCCCATGGGAAAAAAGTGAGTACTTTTTTCCCGGATATATATCACATATATATATATATACTGTTGATGGCTTTTGTTGTGCTATAGTTCCGAAAAATGAGTCAATATAATACCGTCTCCGAGAAAGAACTGCAAGTCCTTTTATCTTCCATTCGACTTCGCGGTTACGTATATTACCAAACAACCACTAAATTCGCAATTTTTTCAAATCAAATCAATGAATTAGACTGACAGAAGTGACATCAGATATGTGATTTACTTCAAACGAATGATGAAGATGCCTACAACACAGGTGCCCCTACTGTTAAAAACTTAAAATTTCACGTCGATAATTTCCAGATTTCAAAATATAATGTAATATCTTCTCAATATTGATTCGTCCTTTCTTCTGTCACAGAAAAAAATAGTGTATTATACACGGGAAAAATATTAGATTTTAGCTCACAACACAACCTGGAGCTAAAATCTACTACTTTTTTCCCTTGTATAATAAATAACTATTTTATGATCTGGATCCCACAAAAAGGAAAATCCCGTAATGTTCAGAGAACATCGTGAGAACCGAGGGAAATAAGGTAGGAATTGGTGTTCTTCTCAAATTTCTGAAGGTTATATGCCGCGGGGAACACCTCCCTTGGCAATGTGTTCCAGTGATATTAGTTGTAGATGTGGCCAGGTCAGGTTAGAATACATGAAGTATCAGAGTTTCCAACTTCTCAGGTTTGTATCCATATATTCTAATTGCATAACTTGGCTCAACATAAATATTATGTTTCACGTTTATTGTCATTTAGCATACTAAAGAATGAATTGCCCATGAAGATGGGAGCTTCAGTTTTACACAGAGTTCCTGATGGAGATATGCAATTACCCTAAACATTTTCTTCGATTTCACTTTCGTCTACTTTTCTCATACAACGTTTAATGAGGAATTCTGATACAAACAGAAATTGTTTGAATAATTTTGGTTGCAACAAAATTCCAAAATGACAGTTGACAGTTCCCACAATTGACAGGTCGGACAGAACGACTGAAAATGTGTTTAAACAACTTTAATATGTGTTCCTGAAATTGTGTTGCCATGGTAAGTGTTTATTTTTTGAATAAATCACATCATCAATAATCGATCATTTTGCGTGGTACATATCCGTACGCTTAATGCCATTTTAGTTATGTGAGTAGAAAATAGAATATTATGTAACAAGTGTTATAAACATCTTTTCAGTCACGATGAGTATTTTAGGCACGATGAGCGCAGCAGAGCGCAGCAATCCAGTGTTTATAATAAACGAGTATGTCTAAAAGAGTTTATTATGAACGGGTTAATTACTTGCTTTTTCTCAAAAACTGTCAAATATTTAGAGCCTTTGACAAATATTAACTTTTTTGTGTAGGAAATATTGGCAGTTTAAATGGATTGCTCAAAACTGTACTTTTTCCAGTGGCGTAAAAGTTGGGGTGGAAAACACTCACAACCCCTTCAAAATCTTCACCAATTCGCGGTTCCAGAAATATTCTCAACAAACGATTTTTTTTTTAAATTCCAACACGCTGTATTTCGAAAATAGGGCATTTCAGAGGGTAAGTTAATGAAAACTTTTTTACATATATTATTGAACGAGATATCAAGTCCTGAAATCCTGCGCATATATTATGAAACACCCTGTATATCCACTAAACAGGAAGCAATAATATCATCCTCTTACTGAGAGAGGTCCAATCTGAAGTGACCTAACTGCATTATAGGTACATTGAGATGATACTAAAATATTTCTATTTATATAGAAAAATGAATATTCCATCCTCGATCAACCTACAGACAGTATTCAAAAATTTGACTTCGATTCTCATTAAAGAAGTTCAACTTGGCCTCTACGACACTGGCCACTTATTAGTGGGTATAGGTAGTGAGAAAATTGATCAATGTAAAATAACGACATTACATGTGTTTCAAATTACTATATGATGTACCATGGCACTGAACAATTATTTTCATGTTATCTGGTATCACCAACATGTTCAGGGATACCTTCAAATATACGTTGTGAATTAAAACACACTAGTTGTGGTAATGTTCATATTAAGAATTTCCCTTCTGTCATGTTTGCTGTACTTCTGTTACTCATGGATATATCAATTTTTTCTCATCATGAATTATCACCATGAACCAAATATTTCTCAGGATTCTTGCTGCAGTGAAGTTGAATCTGAAGATGATTCAATTCATCCATTCGAAATCAGTGTTTCAGAACAGGTGCGTACCCTTACCTATATAGCTATTTATTTTCCTTTTTCACTGCAAATGTTGAACTTTCTTCGAATTCCCTGAAGAATATTCCTCAAACCAGAATGAGCCGATTTAAAGTGTGGTAAACGTTGTACCAAGTTTTTCAGATTTACTGCTATATGGCGATAACTTCCCGAAGTTATTATTATTGACCCATATACATATACAGGGTGTTTTTTAATGACATGCTGATATTCAAGGCGGTGATTCTTGGACCCATTTCAAGAAAAATCCTTCATATGAACCAATGTCCTAACTTTTGAGGTACAGGGTATCGAAGTTGAAAATATGCATAGATTATCTTTTTGTCCATCCTGTATTGCTTTTCGTGATGTCCTGAATGGAGTACTCTGCAGCTTAGCATTAACATCAAAATTTGAAGTCTGGTCTCGTTTTTCCGTTTTTTCTCGAAAACGGAGCGTTCTATCGAGTATCAACAGGAGGATAATATCTGTACATAATTGAATGGCCTTTCATAGGATTGAATGGAATTTGTAAATTTTCTCTCGTTGCTCACTTTTGAGTAAAATATAAACAATAATATCCCCCAAACGGCGCCACTGGAAGAGAAAATGAAAATTTGTGTACATCATAAAATGCACCTTGATGCATTGATTGATTGATTGATTGATAGCAGAATGATCAGTCAGGGTTCGTAGCCCAAAACACTGCAGCCTTTGGGCCTATTGTATTCTTGATCATGCTGTTGACTTAGGTGAACAGGTTCGCTACCTTGATAAGGTTTAGCAGCCTCTTCACCAAATCATTCTTTGGAAATGCCTCTTGAGAGTTTACTGCTCCCAGAAGGTTGTATCTCCAACGCGCTAGTGCTTCGCACTCCAATATTACATGGGTGGCAGTTTCCTCCTCCTCATTGCATAGTCTGCATATGGGTTCGTCTGAATAGATGCCCATTGCATATGTTTCCTCAAGGGGCAGTGACCGGTTATTAGTCCCGTCACTTGTTTGATCTGACTTCTGTTTAGGCTCAGAATGTCGTTAGTCACTGTTTTGGACAGTGTTCCAACCACCAGTTTACTGTGTCTTTGTCCTGGGACATTGTTCCAGTATGCCTGATGTCTTTCTTGCATCCACCTTGCCAGCCAGCCGCGTATTGAGGTTTTGGGGATACCGAACACAGGTTCCGGACCCATAAACAACGCCGCAGACCCTTGCCTGGTAAGAGCGTCAGCTGCTTCATTGCCTTCAATTCCCTTATGCCCTGGCACCCATTGAAGAGTTACCTTGTTGTGGTTAGCCAGGGTTAGCAGGCTTTAAAGGCAATCCCAGACCAGTTTTGATCTAATTTTATTGCATATGTTAAAGATTGAATGGCACCCTGAATATCTGAGCATATGAGGATTTGTTTACCTCTGCATCCTCTTACAATATTCTCTCTCAGGCATGCCTCAATAGCATGCACCTCTGCCTGGAATATACTGAAGCATACCTCCCCAAGAAAGCACACACCTGGTTCTGGGTCTATCTTCATATATTCCGGCTCCCGTGCCCTCATCAGTCTTAGAACCGTCAGTTTACCACACTAACGTGCCTTCCTGACAGGTAGTCAAGACCATTTTATCCCAGTACAGCTGAGTGTTGAAGGGTCTGTGATGGTTATTTCTAGGCAGCATTTTGTCACTTCCCATTTCCATTAGTGGGCTTGAAACTAGACTGATTATTTTTGTATGTCCCAGGGAGTCGCCTTGATGCATAGAAGACATGTACCAAATTTGGTAAAGATGTCTACAATATTATCTCAGTTATCATAAAAAAAACTGATTTTTTTTCAAAACTTCATCGCCCTGTATCTCAAAAGTTAAGACTTTTAAGACATACGTTTGTAGGAAGTTTTCATCTCAAAATAAATCAAAGAATTACCCCATTAAATATTAGCATGTCTAAGGAACACCCTGTATATAGTCCAAGAGCCGGCTGCAAATTTCAACTTTCATCTGATAACGAAATGATATATATATATGTCCCAAAGGCATCTAAAAACATTGTAGTTTATCGAAGGACACCTGTGCCAATCACTATCCTGAGCAAAATGATTGAAAAATTTCACTTTCCTGTGCAGAAATTCGAACTCGATTTCGCGATTTGAAAATGAGATAAGGATTATATGCTATCCGATACCAATTGAATGGTAGATTTCAAAAACCTACCCCTCATTCTGAGCCAAATGACGTCGCCTTTGCGTTCAAGTTAGTGGCAGAGCGTCAATACTTCCGAGAATATTTCGCGCCCCTCTAAAGATAATATCCGATGGACCACTATAAAACTAGAATATTTGAAGTGTGAGCACCACATGAGATTCACACGACTGGTCCATCGAATATTATCTTTTGACGAGGGGGCAATATTCACGGAAATATTGACGCTCTCTGTCGATACGTTTAGGTATTCGCAAAAGGGACATTTTCCGCTTCAATTTTTCTCTTATTTTAACTTATCACATGACGAAAGTACGTTCGGAATAATAGGAGCAACTGAATCGCTGTGCCGTCGATTTGGCTCAAACTGAAGGGAGGCACAGGTAGGTTTTTGGGACCTACCATTAAATTGGTATCAGATGGTAGAAATCTGCAGTCGGCTCCCCTACTAATAGGCAAGCAGAAATTTTCGTTTTCGTCTCTTTAACTGTAAACATTGAATTAGCTCCTATATCTTGTTGAAAACTGTTACAAAATCTTTTGAAACTGCGGTATTATTCCTTACAAATTTTCATTTGCTTAAGAATCGCCAGTATACAAAGTGGAAAGAGTGATGATTTGAATAATTATAGACCTATTCCTGTTCTCCCGATTCTTTCGAAAGTTATAGAATAAATTATGAATAGTCGTCTATTGCTAATCTTCTTGATAATAATATTTCATGTGGATTTCGTATAGGTCAGAAGATACTGAGGTAGCTGTAAATGGATGTAATTCCAGATATCCAATTACGAATGAATGAAAATAATCAATGTGTCCTTCTGTCATTAACATCCCAATTAACACAAACATACCTGGGATGTGACATTCATGTCTCGCTAGGTAACAATGCGAATTATAAGAAAACATCATTGGTATTGCCAGGAGACTCTTTATTTCAGAAAATATTTGCAATATTCCTCACATTTTATTGGATTTTATAGGCTCCCTAACAACCAAGAGACTCACAAAAACCTCACATTCTTGTCTATTTATGTAACAAACCGAATCAATCAATTTTGATGTTGAATGAGAAGTCGCTCAATACGTACTGTGAGTTTCATTTGGCATCATAATGTAGATCATAGAATGAACAAAAGGTTCCGGAACAGCAGTCATTGTGATTTCAGTAGGACTCTTATTTCGAGTAAGGGGTCATGTGATATGTGGCATGAATTTGATGCCCTCTAATATCTCTGGAATCAATCTGTGTTAACTGGGATCTATATCCCAGCAAACAATTTTGCTCATGCTGTGAGCATTGATGGGTCAGTACGAATAATAGGAGACTCTGGCCGTCATCAGAGCCAGTACAGGTCTGCCGATACAAATAAAAAAAAGACGACCGCCACGGGATTCGAACCCTGGTCCTCCGCTTTCACTTAGTTACAAATCGAAATTGTTCGAACTGCGCTACTACACCTTTCCTGAAATGATATGTGTGTCGTACGGAATTTTTTGCGGTTAACTTCCGAATAGGGATAGTTCATCAATTATCATCATATCATAACAGATCGCTACTATATACAAGCGATGAACAAGGAAATAGACTGTTGGCCCGCGACACAGGGTTTATCGATGTTCTAAGTCGGTATGCCATTTAAGGGACCCACTCACTCAGTCCGAGTTAACAATAAGAAGTGCCTCGGAGAGTCGCAACCTAGTCCTTGCCCCGGCCTGACCTCACCTTTCGGTTGGAAAAAAGTTCAAAATTTTGTTTAAGAAGAAGCTCGGCAATGAAGTGCAATGATCTTATCTCACGAAAATTGAGGCGCTTGCCGGTGTTCATACGCCTAGGTCACTCCCAAAGGGCGGCATACAAACCGGAAGTGGCAATTTTTCAGTGTTATAGTCGATGATCGAAGAATGTATGCCCTTTGGCGAAACAATGAATTTGGACCCATTAATCAGTTTCCTGACATTTGCATACGATTCCGGAGAGGGGAGCTCGACTTATTCGAACATCATTTGACTAGATATTCTCCAAATAATCGATAATCGAAGAAATGTTAAAATTTTGACCATGGTTAGTGGACCACACAGTATATATGAGATGATGGTTTGCATACAATTTGCACATTCCGTACAAGGTGTTTCACCATAAATATCTCTCCCATTGTAACTTAGTTGTTTCTGAACCGATTTTAAAATTTCAAAAAAATGATTTTCCTAAGAGATTTTTCATTGTTATCCAAAAATCCACAGGCTGTTCATAACAAATGAACTATGGGGTAGTTGTTGATTTTTTTTTACTGGAACACTATATTTTATCTCATATACTATCGAGTTGAGATTATCATGACGAATACAGGTCTATAGCATCTAGCGATATCATTTACACGCAGCACTCTTATAGCGATCATGCGCCTGTCGGGACATTCAGAACGTCCATAAGACGTTCGAATGGTACCGTGGACGTCCTTTGGACGTCTGTGGGACGCACAAATGACCCACTTGAGGACTTACTAGGGACGTCTTTGAGGGATGTCCCTGGGATAACTATCGGATACCTAAATCCTACAGTATGTAGAATAGAAACAAGTGTTTCTATTGACCCCATTCTAACCTTAAATCGACTAAAGTTCTCTAACTGTGAAATTTTTGAACATATCACAAAAATGATTATACTCACTTGAGCAGTACCTATGTATTTCACTACAGGTGATATGAAAACTGGCAATTGAATCTTATATTTTCAACACGAACGATACAAAGTTTATTTCATTTTGAAATTCCAACGGAAAAATAGCTGATTTCAGATCACAGTTGAATCGTGTTACCAACTGTTTTAAATTTTTATTTTCGTATGAGTGGTTGCATACATTCTCGGAAATCGCTTGGCGTTCAATATCCACTCAGATATAATATCGGAATTATAAAAAAAACTTTCTTACTTTATGTTGCTATTCCCCACACAGTTTCTATCCACCCCATTTTACGTTATTTCAAGTCAAAAGATATCGATAAGTTCGATATATCGATATATAATTATCGATGGTTATCGATATAACGATATTTTTAAAATTACATATATCGATATTCGAAATATAGATGTATATTCACCGATATATATATATCCATATTTTTCCCCAGGCCTAGTTCTTATTCTCTTGGGAATAGATGGGTTGGTTAGGTTTGGTTAGGTATTCGATGTAAATAGAATACGAATAATGAGGAAACGATTCATACAGGGCGGTGTCAATTGGATATTTTCTTCCATGTCAGCTGATATAGAAAACAGTACAAAACTGGAGGTGCATGAAAAAGATGGGTACCTACATAGATATCAATTGATTTTCTTTTCAGGACATGAGAGATATTCATTTGAGACTGAATATTTCCAGAGGTTTCACGCCAGCTTTAGAAGGAACACAGCACGATTATGGCCTGAATGAAAAAGTCTTGAAAACCATCCTAGAACACCTGAGAAATTATAATTTCACTGAGAGACAACATTTTCTGAACGCTTATCCACAATTCATCACCAGAATCAATGGAATGAACATTCATTTTATTCATATCTCGCCAAGAAACTCAGACAATGTTCCAGTGTTGCCGTTGTTGCTGCTGCATGGGTGGCCCAGCTCTGTACGAGAATTTTATGAAGCCATTCCTGTTCTTTTGGCTGGACAAGATGGACACTTTTCTATCGAATTGGTCATACCATCACTCACTGGTTTTGGGTAAGTTTTAGAAGAGTCATCAACAAATATGTACATGAAATCTATCAACTTTTGAATATATTCAGACTGAAAAACCAAAAAGCAACTGGAATGACTCAGCACATATACTTTGAGTAGGCTTCGATCATTATTTTTTTTTCTATATACAATGATGACGTATGACAAAAGTTTACTATCGGACAAAATTGAATTGAATGAAGATTGATTGCTTTCTGGACAAGAAATAGATATAGATATATATATACAGGGTGATTCACGGTGGGTGGCACATTAGACGTTTCTGGAGAACTCAACTGAATATTATTCTGAAAAGTTGGTGCTTTGGATAATTAGTTGTGTTCTATTAGCCCAAAGTATTCTCAGAGTTGCTACGTTGCCGCTTATATTGAAAAGTAACAACAACTTTGATTTTTTTCAATGGAACACCCTGTATATCATTACATTTTTAGATTCTCCCTGAAGAAATGATTCCATCGATGTTTGACACTTGGAGTCTAGCGGGAATGATAACAAAGATATAGGGTGTGAAAAAAACGAAATTTTTCAACTTTGAGAATTTTTTGTGTCGAAATTATTCATAATTGATCAAAACGGTTTTCATGTCCCTATATCAACTTCTAATGTTCAAATAAGACACTATACCTCTCGCTATAGCTACCTATAAATGATCATTATTACTAAGTAGATTAGAATTCGACAATATTATCATTTTGTGAGAAAAAATCATGACATTAAATGCAATACCTCCCCCCCCTCCAAAAAAAGCTTGCTAGATCCACCGCTGAGGTATAGATATACAGGATGAATCAGAATAATGAGATCCATAAACTACCTACGTTTCCAGATTCCTAGTCATGGTATTCTGTCTGAAATGAAAATTTATGTGAGATATTGGATGATGTGATTTCTATATGTTTATTTTTGTATAGAAATTAAATGGAGATGATACATTTCATCGAAAAGAAACTTTGACACCTTCTGATATCATCCAAATTCACACATTTCGAGAATTAATAGGTAGGTACACTGCTACCCAAATAAATTGTAACGACTCTTGAGTTATGTTGGTATATTTTGTTCGAGCCCATGTACTATTCATCGTTTAGGCACAATGTCGATCTTTCCAAGGGTCCACCACATCAGCATTTCATGACCTGATTAAAGTGTTTTGGGTGCATCGATTAGCAAGAATTAAGCAGTATTGGTCTCAAGATTACCAATCCTTTTGATATTGATATTGATATTAATTAGGATGGAAATGGCAAAGGTTTTTTTTACCGTAGTAGAGATTCAGGATATGGAAGACTTGAAAAAATATGACATCTATATCATTCATCTCTGAAAAAAAATCCTTCGCTCTTCTTGGTATTTGATAAGTTCTTTGGGAATATCAAGATTATTAGAATTTGTTTTATCGATCTAAAGGCGTCTTAAGCAGCGGATGAGTATCAGAATCGAAGAATATGTCCCGCCACTATTTTTCTGAGTTGAATGTCTTTCAGATTGAGCAATGGAAGATTCAACTCTTTTGGCTCTTGAATTAATTGCACAACTCACTTCGAAAGAACATTTTCATCTACACCTAGGAAATAAGTTGCAAGAAAAAATCTGGAGAATTGCACAATTCAAAACAAGTATTTTACTTTGTCAATTTTTTTTTACATCAATATCAGCCACTGATCCGAATAAATGATTCATATTTAACTACGTCAGGAGTAGGTATATGTTATCATTGCGAACGAACCTACCAAGTTTGATGGACATTAGGTCTAGGAATCATTGAAAACAAGATTTTTTAAACTTATCACACCCTGTATTCGAAAAACTACAGAACTTCGTTTATTTTCTGGTAATATTTAAACTACCGACATTTCCAGAGGAATAAATATCCAGAATACTAAACTCTGACAATATGGAATTTCTTCAGACACTTCATGTCTATGAACTTTCATGTCTCGAGCTCCCATACTTCGATATTTTGAAATGAATGATATCGAAACCAATTATAGAATACGCATTTTCACTACTCATCCAACCTGCTTTTGCACACCATACCACGAAGAGGGATAATAAGAGGATTGGTATGGGAAACTACCTACCGTCGCGGTATTGCTGTGAAATAAAGATATACACTGTGTCCATAAAGTCACCCCCCTCCCCCTGGTTAACTATTGAACGGATGGGATTTTTTTTTCAATTTTTTTTTGCTTCAATGGTAGTTTCAGTGCTACATATTGTTCCAAAAAATGGAGTGGGGGGTCGAAAGATACCTCGATTGAAAGGTCTTTCGATTCTCTATACAACCTCAGAAAATATTCATTAAAAACAAAATGGCGGATGATAACGTTTGAAATCGACTAGATGGCTATTAAAGTGCTCGCATGTGATCTTCAAATCTCTATTGGCGTATAGAAGAGTTCTCTATCTATGAAGATATCAATAGGAAGCCATTTTGAAGAGAATAACATGGTAGTCAATTATTATACCTCTGCTCGATTGCCTTTATATATTTATTCAAAATAAAGAACAATGTTTATTCCACGTGACTACCATGTTATTCACACCTAGGTATAGGTATCCATTAAAATCCTACTCTATGTTATTTCAAGGTGGTTATGAAACTCACAAAAATATCGATGGCAATAGAAATATGTCATAGGTACAATTTCAACTTATCAGCTCATAACCAATATTTATAGCAAACCGACTGAAAATCACTTTCGTTATCGCCAAAGTTCTGTTGATGTAATAACAAAAAGATTAGTACCTACCCAGTAATTATGGGGAACTAATGGGAAATAATAATCACAGTGATTATAAAATTATCTTTATTATCCAAATCGAATCGAGTAATCTAATTGTTAAGTGAGTATGTACATGATCATGCATTTAAAAATATGTTTAATGGAACTCTCCTGATTTTGTACAATTTCACTCGATCTGCAATATGTCCCATATAGATTGAACGATTTTGCTCGGGTTTGATCTGTTCGATCTTTATTTACTCATAGAATAGCCACATGGAATGTTGATACAGAAAGAACGAGATTTTCAAAAAAAATTAGGCATTCCTATGATAATTCAAAAAAATCAAATTGTTCCATCATATTGTAGACAAGAGTATTTCAAAGTTCAATTAACCCTTGATTACTCGCGCTAATTAATTCGAACTTTTTCCCGCGCGGTGTATTTTGTACACCACCATGAATTTGACTTGTTTTTAGGTGAAACAAAAACGTATGCTTTCCTAACCCCGCACAAGAAGCTATCTACTGTGGCACAAGTTTCGACTTATGGCGCGTTGGATCCAGTGCTGGGTCCAACGAGGAAATGCAATGGGCGTGTACACCTTAGTAGAACTTTCAACTCAAACCATGTTTATAATGATCCTTTCATACATAAATAATGATTGACGACATAATTCGATCGAAAAATTAACTGGAATGTTTTATTTTTGGATATAAATAATAGTACCTTCTGAAAACGGACCCTCTTATGACGTAGAAACCTCATTTCGCCATAGTTGAAAGAAAATACCAAACGCCCGACGGAGACTGAGGCAACTGATATATTAATTCTTTCAACTGTGATCTCACGCTAATTCACTCTGTCAGAAGTCATGTATCATTCATCTCTGTCTGGAATAGTATTGTTTCAGTATTAGGGTTTTGACGTCACATCATCGCCTCGTTTTCAGAGGTCCGAAAAATCGGAGATTTCAATAATTTTTTATAAAACGTAGGGAGCTCACAGCAAGAAACGGTTTGCGGTGGTGAACTAGTTTGGGTGAGTTCTATCGAATTATGAAATAATTTTTTTTTTGTGATATAAGCCCATTAAAAAAAAAGTCACTCTGTTTTTAGTGCGTCCACATAATACACAACTAACGTGTTTGTATACAATATTGAATACTTAGATAATCTACCTTATTTCCCACGCAGTGTATTGTATTCTAGGCACCAACGGGCACCAATGTGACAACGCGTCAACATTTACGTACAAACACACACACACAAAACTGATCTGATCTATCACATCCCAGACATGTTAGACATAGGTTAGGTGGGAGTCTATAGAGCCACAAAAAAAATTCTACGTTCGATGGTAGCAAGAAATTTGGGGCTGGTGTACTAAATACACCAGCGCGAGTAATTAAGGGTTAAGGCAGCTGTAGAACGCCAGAATCGCAGCATTGTCGTCTGGCGTTCAACACCTACCTCAGATCTATACCAAAAAATTTATATTTTTCAAAAACTGACAAAAAAGATAACATCAATAAAGCATATACAGAGAAGTGCACAATGAACGGCCAGTGCTGTAACTTCTGAATCAATTGAGATCGGATTTTAAAACTGGTGGGTAGTAAGTATACCAAATTGCTCATTAATTGACAAACCAATTTTTGTTCTATCACCTCCGGTTTCACCGGAAACGATCCTAACTTTTGATTTTCATATAGGACACGCTGTATTTCATTCCATAATCGGTTAGGAATTATCATAACAAATTCAACGATACCAGATTTGATAGGGTGATTTCAAACGATTACGAATATATTCGCGTTCTGAGTTTCCATATGCTCAATGTATGTGACTGCGCAATATAGAAATTTCTTTCTCTGTCTCACTCATTGAGCAAATGGAAACTTAGAATGCGAATATCTTCGTAGTCGTTTGAATTAACCCTATCAGGCTATCAAGCCTGGTATCGTTGAATTCGTCATAATAATTCCTAACCGATTATGGAATAAAATACAGGGTATCAATTAATGAAAAATTTGGTATACTTGCTACCCACCAATTTTCGAAATCCGATCTAGAATGATTCAGAAGATTGTGCACTTCTCTGTATATGTATGGAAACAGAAGAAAGAGCTTTGCCGTTTAGAAAACTAAAATACAGGATGTTATTACATTCAAAATATATCAGTTTAAGTAAAATTTACATGTTCACGATGATTTTTTGCATTCTCTAGTCCTTGATTCTGAATGCCCATGAAAAATACTTAAATTTTGCCCATTCGAACGTTGTAAGACCAATATGAACTGAGAAAGTTTTCGATGAGTATAATATAAACAAACACCTTGAACATACTTCTGATTCATTATAGGCTCTAAGTATTCATGTTCAGGTAATTCAGTGTTGGGTTAATTCATTGACCCTTTCACTTGAAAAATTTTGTGGAAATCTCACCGTTTGTGATTTCATTGAATAATGAATGACTGAAATAATGGGCGATTGTATTAGTCCAAGAGCCGGCTGCAAATTCCGACCACCATCTGATAACGAAATGATATATGTATATACAGGGTGTTTCAAAAAAACCTGACCCCCTTGCTATGGTAGGTAGAACATTGCAAAATAAGTTGGGTTTGCTCAGTGAAGAAATGTCGTAACGGCATCCGTTTTCATGATACAAGGTGTTGAAAAAATGATTTTTTTACACATTTTTCACGATTATGTCGAAACTACTGGCTACATTGTGATGAAATTTTGTACGGATGTTATTTGAAATCTGACACATCGCATGAATTTGTTTTTATATCTGACTCTCATAGAGGGCGCTAGTTACACTGTTCGTACCGAGTAGTTTAGAACATAACTTTTTTGAGGTTAGATTTTTCAATCCAAATATGATATGAACTTGAACCTCATTCAATTTTACACCAAAAAGAAACTCTTGGTGAAACTTGATACTATGTTCCGTTTTCGGAATATTTCGATTTGAAAATAATGGAGTAGTAATGATGCTGTAATAAAATGAATTTTATTGAGTTCAATTATACCTATTAAACAGATTCAAAAACAATAAAATTATTCTTGTGCTGAAGTTATTGATGGAACAAAGAATCGTGAGGAGAAAATTAAGAGATATTTGACTAGAAACATGAAATATTGAATCAGTTAGAGTGTGTGTTCAAAATGTCCTACGTTTCGACGAATACACGATTCTAATTTATTTTCTTAAGATTGTATTATTCTTCTAAACAGTTGAGGATCAGCTGTTAGGTCATTTGAGTGATGTTCAATTATGTCTTACAACTCTTGACGTGAATTTACCTATGTAGCTTAGACTTTCTGCTCAAGATACAACAAAACTGTGTAATCCATGTTCTCAGTCGAATCTGTTTTGATGTTATTCTTGTGATTCATTGTTAAATCAATAAGTTTAGCATTATAGAAATGTATTGTTGTTTTTGGTTTTCAATAAATAGGTGATGAATTTTCATAATACTCGCTCTAATACATAGCCTTATACCAGCAACAGTTATCACTTCATCATTTTCAATTCGAAATATTCAGAAAACGGAACACAGTATCGAGTTTTACCAAGAGTACCTACCTTTTTGATGTGAAATTGAATGATGTTCAAGTTCACATCAAATTTGGATTGAAAAATCTAACCTCAAAAAAGTTATGTTCAAAACTACTCGGTATGAACCGTGTAACTAGCGCCCTCTATGAGAGTCAGATATAAAAACAAATGCATGCGATGTGTCAGATTCCAAGAAACATCCATACAAAATTTCATCACAATGTTGCCAGTAGTTTCGACATAATCTTGAAAAATGTGTAAAAAAATGATTTTTTCAACACCTTGTGTCTTGATAACGGATGCCGTTACGAAATTTTTTCACTGAGTAAACCCAACTTTTTTTGCAGTGTTCTACCTACCCTAGTAAGGGGGTCAGGTTTTTTTGAAACACCCTGTATATGTAAAACCATTGTAGTTTATCGAACGGCACTTATCCTGAGCAAAATGATGGAAAAACTGCACTCTTCTGTGCGGAAATTTGCACCCGATTTCGCGATTTGATAACGAGATAAGAATTATGCAATCCGATTCCAATTGAATGGTAGATTTGAGGAACCTACCTGTGTGTCACCCCTCAGTCTGAACCAAATCCACGGCACAGGGTGATTCACGGTGGAAAAATCTATACAGTGTTGCAATTTCTATCAGAAACAACTAGCAACTTCGTTATTTTGAATGGAGCACCCTGTATTTTATTGTATTTTTAGATTCTTCCTGAAGAGCTGACTTTATCAATGTATCACGCTTGCTGGGGTCTAGCAGGAATGATTACACAGACATATAGGGTGTTCAAAATGGAGAGTTTTCAATTTTAGGATTTTTTGTGTCAAAAATATTCATTATCAATCTTATGAGCGAGATATTGCCTGTATACGATATTATACAATGTTTTTTACTTTCCTTTGGGACATATACAGGGTGTTTCCTAACTACGGTTCCTAACTGCAGGTGGTGATTCGTTAGGTCATTTTAGGAAGAAAAGTTTCTATTAACATATGTCCGGAGTTGCTTCGTTTCTGAGATACAGGGCGACGAAATTGAAGAAAAAAAAACAGTAATTACAAAATATCATGAATATCCTGGAACCGATTTGGTTGAAATTGGTCACTTTTATTTGAACTAATAAGGTGCTTATTCAGCCCTTTTCAGAATGAGATTATTGGGGCCAGTGCCGTCTCAGGGGGCACCACAGCCAACAATATTGTAAAAAAAAAGTACGCCACTGACTTTTTTTGGTGAATTTTTATTTTTCCAAGATTGAGCAACTCAAAATACAACTTTTTGGTCTCTTGTATTTTCTTCATATCCAGCTTTGTTTTCGAGAAAAAAAATCAAAGCCACTGTATTGCATATCATGAAGAATGGAGAAATGGGTTTTTATTTCCGCCAAATATATAATTGACACTTGATATGCTGAAATTTCAGAAAATTTTACAAATTAAAGTACCAAATTTCAACACGGAAAAAAAGGATTTGTTGAATCAACAAATTATTTATGCTTGAGTTATTTTTGTTGGACTGAGCAATTTTTTGTTGAATCAAGCAGATACATGATTATTCCATGGAGGCAGCTTGTTCAAATCAAGAATGTAGTCTAATTGAATCAACAGTATAATATCAATTCCATCAACAAAATATATGGTTTCTTCAAAAACAAATTATGTCGATCCAAAATAATGTCGATGTTGATTCAACTATAAACATTTTGCTGATTTGATCAAACAATGATCATTTTGATGAGAATATATCTTTAAAACAACATACAAGTTTTCTTATTCCGATGTATTAATGAACTTGTTTCGATCGGATGATTTGCTTGAATAAAGCAACGAAATATGTAATATCAATGGAATATTTCAATATTTTGTTCATTCTACATCAACTTATATTTTCGCCTCTAGATGGCGATCTATTCGCCTCGTCTATGCCTGCCTTGAGTTCATTATATATACGTGAAGCCCGAGGTGAAGCCTAATTCTTCGTGTTTGAAATATCAGCTGGATAAATCGAACTTATAATGATTAGCAATCCGAAATAGTTTTCCATCAGCTGAAGATAAGTAAAGACTAAAGATCTATGCTATGAGTCGACTAGTTTCCTAGTTTTGTTCATTCTATTGATGTGAAATTTCAGAAAATTCCCGAATATTGAATTTGGTTCAAAAAAACAATATGTCGAATGGATATATAGTTTCTCTTGAATCAACAAAATATTTCATTGAATTAACCAAATATTTCATTGAATCAACCCAATATTCCATTGAATCAACCAAATATTTCTTTGAATCAACCAAATATTTCGTTGAATCAACTAAATATTTCGTTGAATCAACTAAATATTTGATTGAATCAATATCTTGTTATTTTGAATCGAACAAAATGTTTGTTTGAGCCAATTCAATATCTCCATAAACAATTCATGGATGTGCTTGATTGAAGAAGATCCAGAGTTCATGCAAGACATATTTACTCGATTCAAACTTCAAATTAGCTCTGAAACAAGATATAGATTTACTCATTTCAAGAATATATTTTGTCGTGCATATATGACACTTTTATTTGCTCCATTCAATTAAATTTTGCTTGATTCAACAATTCCTTTTTTTCCGTGAACCAAATCGGTTGCAGGATATTTATGATATCGTATTTTTCTTCTTTAATTTCAACGCCCTGTATCTCAGAAACGAAGCAACTCCGGACATATATTCATAGGAACTTTTCTTCTCAAAATGACCTTACAAATCACCCCCTGCAGTTAGGAACCGTAGTTAGGAAACACCCTGTATATCATTTCGTCATCAGATGACGGTAGAAATCTGCAGTTGGCTCTCCTACTATATTGTTTTCAGGTATAGTGACGGGCCGACCAAACTTGGCTGTCACTCTCCTCACGTGGGGAACTTGATGAGACTGCTCATGGAGCGTTTGGGACACAGAAGGTTTTACGTTCACGGCAGCGATTGGGGGGCAGTGGTAGCCACCGGTATGACCACCATGTTTCCGGAAAGCGTGATTGGCCTGCACTCGAATTTTTGTTTTTCACTCAGGTAAGTACTCAATCAATCAATCAATCAATCAATCAATGTATCAAACCCTGTAACTAATAAGTCAGTCCGTGTTTTCCTCTGCTTCATTACATGATACCAAGCTGCATTCTTCTATTTTTCAAATAAATACAAAGAGCTCAAAGTCATATCGATACAATAATGTTCATAAAATGAACAACAATAGTAGATTTCTAGAGAAAAACAACTTCTTTCCTGGCGAATGCTACGCAGAACATTGAATTACATCCTCCCGAAATCTATGCATCGACTCGTATAAACGAATACTGATACAAGTGAATCTTTCCTGAATGCCTATTGATATCGATTCAGCTAGGCCAGGCTAGACACCTACAGACCGGTTTAGGGCTCTTCGACTCTCATCAGTGTAGGGCAGTATCTATCCAGCAGTCCTAAAACCTCCGACTAAGCGTAGTCTAGCCAAACAAAAATCAAGTCGGCATTATATTTTATGTATTATATATTTCTATTTATTTCTTGAGGTAGATTAATAAGACGGCTTTTGTCATGAATAACTGGGAGTATTCTTGGGCGCCTGTTGGAGACATCAGAGAAGGGCACTTTTACATCAAATTTCACATGGCAGAGTTCTTCCACATCAGGCGGTATAGTTCGTTTCTCCGAGAAATGTGTAGATCATTATTTATCTGCGAAAACCGACGAGAACGATATTTATTGCAAAGTACGCACTTCGATAAACATAACATGTCGTTGGTGAATCTCGCTAAGTTCAGTCTGGTGCCGTACCAAAATTACAGACATCAATTTTTTCACCGGGAAGATCAAGTTTTGAAATAATTTCAAATTGAATATCACGTGATTTTGAAATCTAACATTCAATATGTGAACCCCACGTCATCGTCTGAAATTCGATTGTTTAAATCAAGTAACAGTCTGACGAAACAATTGGAGAGTGAGCGCACCAGAGGTTTATTTCATCAATACGCTGCCCTCACCAATGAAAGGGCATACCTTATATACACTTTTTTTTCACCACGAGCCATAGAACCTACTATTATTCACTTCTTTTGAAGGCGTAAAGTATGTTTTCACTACCAAGGCGTTTTTCGTCATTTTATGAACCACTAGTCAATAAAGACATAGCCACCTCTGTTATAATTAACTCGAATTCACTGTTCTGATGCGATATTCACAGGAATGGCACTTCAATCTAGTAGGTGTTTATCAATAACAACTTGTCATATGTGCTGTCATGGTGACTAGATTTCAATTTGAATTGAGAATAAGTGATAGATAGATAGATAGATAGATTTTATTAGTCCTTTGTTCTACAATAAGTAGATAGGACAAGTCATACATTAGATAATATATAAAATAGTCATTTAAAATACACTACAGAATACATATACTTATACATACATGTATAATATAGGCAAAGTTATATAGGTTAAAAAACAAAAAAATCACAAAATAAACATTGAATAGGTATAATATAGGACTAGTGCTTTCATAGTTTCATAGCTCAACATTTCAGATTCACACAACTATAATGATTGAAATATATTGCTAATGGAAAAAGTTGAAGCCTCAGGATATAATCTTGGTCCCTGGGTAATATTGATATTCTTTACTACCTACCTTGGTGTATCCACGACGCTCGAGTAAATCCCCATTTAGCCTCTTCGCCTCCTCTACTATAAAACTTCTAGAAATGTGAGCTTGATGTGTGTGATGATTCAGTATTCAGTATTCAATTTTCTGCGACTTTTTCTTCGCTTTGGTGCTGTGTTGTGATCAGGATGAACAGAAGATGGTGTAGAAACTCCTAACAAATCCCATCTACTGTTTTTCGGTCACAGTTAAGATTTTATTTTGAATTAAAAATAAGTGCTTTCATAGTTTCATAGCTCAACATTTCAGATTCACAGAACTATAATGATTGAAATATATTGCTAATGGGAAAAAATGGTATATACACACCTTGGTAGTATAGAATATTATTACCACGAGGCCTCATACCCTTTGGCTGAAACCTCGAGAACTAATCTTGGTCCCTGGGTAATAATGATATTCTTTACTACCTACCTTGGTGTATAAATAACTATTTCCTCTTAACATCTTATCTTCATAATCTAATACGTCTCCACGACGCTCGAGTAAATCCCCATTTAGCCTCTTCGCCTCCTTTACTATAAAGCTTCTACAAAATAATGTAAGCTTGATATGTGTGTGATGATTCAGTATTCGAAAATTTTCTGCGACTTTTTCTTCGCTTTGGTGCTGTGTTGTGATCAGGATAGACAGAAGATGGTGTAGAAACTCCTAACAAATCCCATCTACTGTTTTTCGGTCACAGTTCTTGACCTACAGCCTATTTGACTAATGGAGTCTTTTCAATATCGCGGAATATAGGTCGCAATTTACCCGTTACATGACGAAATATCAACCAAAATGCACTGTTAGCAGAACTGATCATAATTAAAATTCCCCAAAATTACAGTTTTGTACTCTCAAATTCAATCTCATATGATTTGAGGTTATGTTATGAATGTTATGATATTATTATTTCTGGTGCAAGTGGTCTGTAGGCGCCGTTTTCTCTATTCTGTCTTGGAATGAATCTGTAAAAAGTGTCGACACTGAGAACTAATATGCCATTATTCCGGAATCTGCGGTCAAGCGTTTTGGGAGAAACAAAACACTGTCTGTGATTACAATTACACCATATTCTATCCACCTTGGTTGTGGTGTACGAAAATATGAATGGATACCAATATTTCCAATTGATGCATATTTTTTTAACACTTCGATATTTTTGATTCATTGGTTTCATTTCAAAACAGGTACATCACCTTGCTGAAGACCGTTCTGGGTAGTCTATATCCTTCGATGGTTGTAGATGAAGAGTATGTTAGCAAGATGTATCCACTAATAACAGGCATACTGAGATTTTATATATCAGAAAGTGCTTATATGCATATGTTTGGGACGAAACCGGATACCATAGGTTTGTATTTATCTCGGTATGTTAATCTGAGGTAGGAATCTATACACTAAAACACTATACAACATGGAAACCTATATGATGGGTTAAAATCCGTATCTCCATCTTAGTAATTTTCGAAAAATCCTTGGACAGGTCGATTTTCATGTTTTGGAGATACACATTTTATGCAATCAAAGGTATGGTAGGTGTATCTGTCATATTTTCTTCACTGGATAATTGAAGGAATCGCGTCAAACACGTCAATATACAGGGTGTATTTAACCCTTTCTGTCCCGGGCATGAATTTACATGTTGGGCCTCCAGTCCCAGAGGTTTTTTCATGCCTTATACATATATACGTCGCATATAAATAAACAGATAAATGAACAAACAATGTTTATTTCATGTTATGTTAATGAGAAATATATATTTTTAAACAAACTTAAACGTTTTCTTTTCAGAAGTACCCATCAGAGAGCAAAACCAACTCAAAAAAATGTAACTAAAAAAATAATGTAAAAAATGATCATTAAAAGTTTTCTTTTGTGTGGTACTCCTCAAAACATGGTACTACGCAAAGGCCGACTCCGCACCTTGTACACATGTATCTCGATTCGCTTCTTTTTCCTGGTCTTTTGGGTTGGGTTGCCACTAGTGCTACAATATAACATATCCATCTACAATATAAGAATATATACGGCAATGGGTCCGCATGACCTGTCTTAGGTGCTAACATTTTGCGGGTGTGGGACAAATAATCTAACATTTTCGGACATATTTCTACGGCATTGAGATCCCATTGGGTCTAAAATTTTATAAGTAGCGCATATTTTCGGCTTTGGTGAATTGAGACCATTCCACCTTGAACGTATGTAAACGGCGGCTGGGACTACAGACACAGACCCACTTTTCAAAAAACATTTATTCATGGTGTGATTTCTTGTGATATTCTAGCAAATAAAGTTCATATCACCATGTGTCCTTGCTTGCTCCGTTTTTGTTTCTAACCCCCCTGTATAAGCTTTCATGGTGCCAAAATTCAGTATGGTTGGAGACTGAGAAAGCCCCAGAATTTCAAAATGATAGAAATTGAGGTTATTGAGTAATCTCAGTGGGAGTCTTGAAAACACCTACATCAAAATTTGGAGTCAAATCGAATTGTTATTGTTTCCTCAAAAGCCAAATTATTGAGTTTCAATTTCGTTATTATATTTTTTTATTTCTCAATCGATGAGGGTATTAATATTTCCATGAAAATCTTTTTTATTAATTTCTTAATTGTCTTTTCATCAATTTCAATAAAACGTTGTGGTTTTGTTGATAGTAATATGGAGTTTCTTCTAGTGCAATAGGCCTTTTCATCTAGATATATTTTTGAGACGCATGCGCTCGTTTTTAGATCCAAAAATTCATTGGGTAATGCGAAGGTGAAGTCTCATTGGCTATAGTTCCAACACAAATTGCTGATTGGCCAACAACAATAACAACATAGTATTTTTGTTTTTATATTCCTGGTGTGTATTTACTGTATTATGATAATTTAATTCCAAAAAACTCACTTGCTCGTTACTGAGGAGTGTGGTACGATGGTGTAATAAGTGTTTCGGTAAAAATGGCCGCCACTGTCGTTGGATGCGAGATGTAAACAGAGATAGGCATTTGTCATCTAAATGAAAAGGCCGATTAGATTCGAAATAATATTTCCAGTGGCGTCACATTTAACGATATTCATGGTGAATGTCATTGTACACCACCAGTTTTTCTGAAATTCATATTTTTATTAGATTGAACTATTGAAATAACTTTTTTATCCTCTATGTGATTTTTGTATCTAGCTTAGTTTTTGAGGAAACAATAAAAATTTAAGGTGTTTTCAAGACTTCTATCATTGAGTGTGACTAGTGTATATAATCAAGGCTTCTTTTGAGTTTACACAATAACCCCAATTATAATCATTTCGAAATTTTGGTGCTTTCTCAGTCTCCATCCATACTGAATTTTGGCACCATGAAAGCTCATACAGGGGGGTTATAAATAAGAACAATTAATACTTCCAACTTCAACATCCAATATCTCAAAAACGGAGCAAGTTAGGACACATATTTATATGAACTGTATTTGCTAGAATGTCACAAGGAAACACCCCTTGAATTTATTCGGTGTTATTTTAGAAACACCCTGTATATAGTTTTTTTGCGTTAAAAAAGATAACACATGCACATTCATTTTCTCAGGGCACGGATTAGACAATTCGCTGGAAGGACTTATATCTTTTCTCTTCGAAAAATTCTCAATTGGGAAGAATAAACTCAACTTGCATGTGCCTTCAGCGGGAGTTACTGATATCGAAGTGATGAAGTTGCTGGATATAATATTATTTTATTACTGGTTCCCAAAAAAAGCAACAACTTCGGCCAGATTCTATAGTGAGAACTTGGGAATAGAAGGACTATTGAATGGGTTACACAAGTAAGTATAGTATCACTTGTTATGGGTGATTCTTTTGTTTTTCAGATATTGTAAGTGATAGATCTGCAGGAGATATTGAAATATCTCCTCGTCTGAATCTAACGGAATATTGAAACCAGGCGAGTAACCACTACGCTCATACAATTTTTGATGATTCATGTGATTTAGGTACCATTTTTGCGTTTCGTTGTTTTTGACAAAAAAAGCTTTGTATTTAGTAAAAGAATTCGTCATTAGATAATCACGAAGGTGTATACTTTTTTGCTTTTGGGTGTATGATAAATTGACATTCATCATACAGGGCGTGGAAAGAAATTCTGAATTGAGACTCTATCACGAATCTGCGAAAATCACAAGTTTCCATCGTTCAAGTTTGAACCCCCTGATTGGGTATGAAAGTTGAAAGTGTTGAAAAGGAATATTCTCAGATAAATTATGAACATACAAAAATGGATATATATTTATATAAAGCAATACATTGAGAATTCGCATTCTCTATGTGATGAGAATATTTACTCTTTTTCAGTTGATTCAATAGAAAACAACTACTTTCCTGTAGGAGAAGTATACTGGCATGAACTCTGATCTTGAAAATGTGTATATCATGAAAAATGGCTGTAAGAATAAGTGGACATCATGGTTACTGATGAGGATTCAGGAATCCGAAATGGTTTCATTGCGATAAAGTCATATAACCTGTGTGTGAGAGATAATATTTCCCATATCACTGATATGAATGATTATTTTTTGGAAGTTTTCAAGCTCATCAAGATAGCACATCATGTTGGCAGGAACCCGATTTTATATTGGGCCGATATAGATATATCGTACATGTGAAACATAATATAGGTCCAATATGAAAGTATATTGGACATACAATATTGAAATGATAATATTGGTGGAATATTGGTTCAACCTGAGCTGAATATGGATTATCATCTACAATATTGGAGCAATATTGGTTGTAAAATTCGTTAACAATGTGTTGAAAAACATATCCATAAATGTTATATAATATTGTTTTACAAATGTCGATACAACAACATCGTATGCATATTTTTCCCGACATTAATAACCAATATCGCAATTTGTACATTCTCCCCATGTCGATTCTGAAGCGGTTATGCAATATTGTATATTCAAGGTGAACGGCATATTGGTTGGATATTGTTTTAACAACATTTGAAACATCATATTCGCCTATATTGATTGATATCATTCTATCTATATCATGTGGAAGATATCGTATACATTTTGTTTCTTACATTTATAACCAATATCGTGATTTGAATATTCTCCTCATGTCGATTCTGAAACGGTTGTGCAATATTGTATATTGAAGTTCGATGGCATATTGGTTGAGTACTATTTCAACAATATTCGAAACATCATATTCACCTATGTTGATTGATATCATTTCATCCATATCATGCGGAAGGTATCGTATACATATTGTTTCCAACAATTATAACCAATATAGCAATTTGAACATTCTTTCCATGTCAATTCTGAAGCGGTTATGAAATATTGTATGTTCGAGTTCGACGGCACATTGGTAGAATATTGTTTCAACAATATTTGGCACATTGAATTCACCTATATTGATTGATATCATTTCAACTATATCACACGGAAGATATTGTATACATATTGTTTCCAACAATTATAACCAATATCGCAATTTGAACATTCTCCCCATGTCGATTCTGAAGCGGTTATGCAAAATTGTATATTCGAGTTCGACGGCTCATTTTTGAATATTGGTTTGCAGACTTATTCTTGGGGTTTGGATTCAGTATCATAAAAATTCGAGGATTTAGTAGAAAAACGTTTCGCCCATGGCCATGGGCTTTGTCAATTTATTGTTGGAATTTTTTGGCACTGTAAATAATGTTTGACATTGTAGGGTGATGGTGATGAACATGAATCTAAAGAAAAAAAGAGAGATACGTACCTCAACCAATTCATGATTCACAGCAGTGTGGTATTTTTGTGATGTTTTTTTTATTTATTTATTTAAACATATTGTTAGTTTTTTTAATATTTTTCCTTCTTTCTTCTTTTGGAAGGAGTTGAACATTTTTGTATCATCCTTCAATGTGATAGAACACGAGGGAGACTACAATTTGATGAGGTCAATTTAGAAATGTTGATCATATGTTTGAATAAATAAATAAAAAAAACATCACAAAAGTACCACACTGCTGTGAATCATGAATTGGTTGAGTGCCAAAAAATTCCAATAATAAATTGACAAAGCCCATGGCCATGGGCGAAACGTTTTTCTACTAAATCCTCGAATTTTTATGATACTGAATCCAAACCCCAAGAATAAGTCTGCAAACCAAAAAATAACAGGATTCAAGAATATCCCTCAACAAAAAATTTTTTGAATATTGTTTATTCGACAATATTAAAAACATCATATTTACCCAAATTGATTGATATCGTTTCAACTATATCATGCGAAAGACATGGAATGCCTATTGTTTCAAATATGAATATAAATACCGACAGTCTTATATCGGTCATAGAAGAGAAAAACAATATTGTATTCTCAAGTTCAATTGCATATCGGTTGAATAGTTTTCTAGGAATATTCAGAAAGTAATATCATCTTATATTAGCTGATATCTGATTCACTATATCATGTGAGCAATATTGTTCACATATTGTTTTGAGAATACATATCGATATCGAAATTTCGATATTATTTCCATAGCATGCACTCTCAAACCGATTACGATAGATGGCGCTATAAATGATTCGTTACGTACTCCCGTTGCCGATCAGACGAGAGAATATAAATATGGGCTCTAGACGATTGTTAAGCATTATTACCTGGAGTAGGAGTTAACCGTGATCAATAAGGCGGCTTCCCCAATGCAAGGCCCTTCCATTGCACTTCGGCTGGACTGACTTTTCTGATTAGTCCTAATGCGAATAACTCGCAAATATTGATATAAAAATATTCCACCAATATTTCAAAGACAACATAGCTACATAATGATTTTCAATAATGTACCAATATTTCCAACCAATATTTCACCAGTATATTACTATAATATTCAGCAATGTTGGTATGACAATATTCTACCAATATTTTTGAGACAACATACCTTCATGATGTTTTTCAATGATTCACCGATATTTCCATATAATATTGCACCAATATTGCCGAATGTTCACCAATAATTTCTCGCCAATATTGATATTACATTTTGTGACCTATATAAACTCCACGAATATTCAACCAATATTGATATGAGAATATCCTACCCACATTTGGAAACTGATATTGTACCAATATCGCCGAATGTTCACATATTTTTTCTCTCCAATATTACTTTCACAATATTTTGCCCATATTTTCGTAATATTGCACCGATATTGTCCCAATATATGTGTGCTACTTGGGAGAGTTCATGCCAGTATACTTCTCCTATACATTCCAATTTTCATTTCAATGCTGAATATTGGTAAAGTCATATTTCTACATCATTATTCAACATATTATTCATCCGATTTGAAGATGAATGTCAATTCTCAATTTCGGAGGATTTTATTTTTTATTTTTCATGTTTTCCTTCTGAATGTTCATCAGATATAATTCATTAATTCAATGTTCGACGTGGCAAATAGCCAGGAAAGTAGTTGTTTCCTGTTGAATATTCAGAATGATGTGTGCATGTACATATTTTGTCTGAAGGAGAATGCAAATTCTCAATTTCAGAAGTTTTTATATTTTATTTTCAAACTCTTATCGTGTGTGTTCAATAGATATACTTCAATGTTCGTCGTGCATATAACCAGGAAAGTAGTTGTTTTCTATTGAATCAACTGAAAAAGAGTAAATATTCTCATCACATAGAGAATGCGAATTCTCAATGTATTGCTTTATATAAATATATATCCATTTTTGTATGTTCATAGTGTATACTTTTTTTAGTTTGGAACAAAAATGTTCTCTCACAGGGCATTTTTATCAAAAATTCTTCATTTTTCGAATCATTTTTTGAATAAAGTTTTTGATTCTCAATATTTTGAAGTTCTGACATGCATTCAGCATAATCATTTTCCCAATAACAGTCGCGTACCTACGGAGGGATGAGGGAGCTATACCCCCCCCAATATTCCGATAGAAAGCACCACTCTTCCTCACGTATAACATTTTCATCTCTATACAGGGTGTCCCATAAGTCATGGTTCAAAAGAAGTGGGTGGTAAGCGAGGTCATTTGCAATCAAACTAACGGTATATGTGGTTATCAAATTGTTGATGGTTCAGAAGTTATTCAAAACGTGACCCATTTGAAAACAATTATAACAGAAAGGGTGTTTTGAATATCCCCTTATATTATGATATTTCTGTAATAGGCAATATCTGTAATAGGCAACTTTTTTATAATTGGTTATCTTCTTGGTTAGTTTTTAAATACGCCAGCGGCATTTTAATATCAACTCAAATATTTCATTCAATGACAATACTCAAGTAAAACAACATTTTTCTCAGGTTAATTGATAAGATGTGACACATGTCAAGAAATCATTTCTGGGGAAAGGTGTGCATCCATGTGGATGAAATTTGTAGGAGAAAAAATCATTGTGAAATTTTTTTTTCGTAGAAATGAAAAAAAAATTGATAACTTTTGAACCATCAAAAATTGTATGATCACATATACGGTTAGTTTGTTTGGAAATGACCCCTCCTACCACCCCACTTCTTTTGATCCATGACTCATACTAATCCAATAAACATTTCAAATCTTTCATATCCATTCCGAAGAATTTTTTTCACACAGTGCAGTATCAGTTGCATATACAGGGTGTCCCACTAAGGTCGGCGAGGTACGATATCATGGAAACCATAAACCTCAGGACTTCGAGGAAAAAAAATTAAGGACTAAATCGGCCAAGAAAAATTGATAGAGAATATTTTCAAGTTCATAACACGACCGCTAGGGGGCGCAATCTTTATGATAAAACTAAAAATTGAATTTT